TGAGGCTGAGGCTGAGGCAGGCTGAGGCTGAGGCAGGCTGAGGCTGAGGCTGATGCAGGCTGAGGCAGAGGCAGTCTGAGACTGAAGCCGAGGCTGAAGGCAGATTGAGGCTGAGGCTGAGGCAGAGGCAGGCTGAGGCTGCGGCTGAGGCAGGCTGATGCTGAGGCAGGCTGAGGCTGAGGCTGAGGCTGATGCAGGCCGAGGCTGAGGCAGGCTGAGGCTGAGGCCGAAGCTGAAGGCAGACTGAGGCTGAGGCTGAAGCAGGCTGAGGCTGAGGCTGAGGCAGGCTGAGGCTGAGGCTGAGGCAGGCTGATGCTGAGGCAGGCTGAGGTTGAGGCTGAGGCTGATGCAATGGTGAGGCTGAGGCTAGCAATGAGGCCGAGGGCCGAGGCCGAGGCTGAAGGCAGACTGATGCTGAGGCTGAAGCAGGCTTGGGCTGCGCTGAGGCAGGCTGAGGCAGGCTGATGCTGAGGCAGGCTGAGGCTGAGGCTGAGGCTGATGCAGGCCGAGGCTGAGGCAGGCGGAGGCTGAGGCTGTGAGGCTGAAGGCAGACTGAGGCTGAGGCTGAAGCAGGCTGAGGCTGAGGCTGAGGCAGGCTGAGGCTGAGGCTGAGGCAGGCTGATGCTGAGGCAGGCTGAGGCGGAGGCTGAGGCTGATGCAGGCTGAGGCTGAGGCAGGCTGAGGCTGAGGCCGAGGCTGAAGGCAGACTGAGGCTGAGGCTGAAGCAGGCTGAGGCTGAGGCTGGGGCAGGCTGAGGTCTGAGGCTGTGGCAACCCTCTGATGCTGAGCCGGCTGAGGCTGAGGCCTGTGCTCAAGCAGGCTGAGGGGGTGATGGCCGTGGCGAGCCGAGGGCTGAAGGCAGACTGTTGCCTGAGGCTGAAGCAGCTGAGGCTGAGGTGAGGCAGGCTGAGGCCTGAGGCTGAGCAGGTTGAGGTGAGGCTGAGGTGATGCAGGCTGAGGCAGGCGAGGCATGGCGCGGTAGGCTGAAGGCAGACTGAAGGTGAGGCTGATGCAGGCTGAGGTCTGAGGCTTACAGGTGAGGCTGAGGCTGAGGCTGAGGCTGAGGCTGAGGCTGAGGCTGAGGCTGAGGCAGGCTCAGGCTGAGGCAGGCTGAGGCTGAGGCTGAGGCTGAGGCAGGCTCAGGCTGAGGCAGGCTGAGGCTGAGGCCGAGGCTGCAGGCAGACTGAGGCTGATGCAGGAGCAGGCTGAGGCTGAGGCTGAGGCAGGCTGAAGCTGAGGCTGAGGCTGATGCTGAGGCAGGCTGAGGCTGAGGCTGAGGCTAATGCAGGCCACTGCGACTGTCATCGCGAATGCGACTACGACTGCGAGAACAGCAGAACTCTACAACTGGATTCTCATCTGAATCTTAAGGGGGATGCTTCCAGATATGCTCCTACACATCGCTGTTAGGTTGCTTTGCCGGGATAATCGTTTTTTTACAAGGGATGGTGAGGGGGTGTCCGCATGGACCCTGGTTGGCCCCCAGTCGCCTGGGGGAGGGGGTGTTTATTAATAGGGAACAGTGATAAACCCCTCCCCCAAGGGGAAGACAGGGGGTTGGAAGAGGAAACTCCCTAAACCACCTACGCCCAGAGGGCTGGTGGGATTACTGATTTTGGCCTCTGGAGGTACTCTTGGGGGTCGTTGTTGGACCCTCTTGGGACGTCCTAAGAGTTTCTTGGGTCCTTTGGGGGCCATCATGGACCGTCTTGGAGCCGTCTTGGCCCGAAGCCATGTGGAGCCGTTTTGAGGCCCGATTGGGCCTCCCAGCGGGCCCAAAGTCCCGAATCATAGATTTACGTGGTTTTGGTACGCTTTTGAGCCCCAAATTGGGGTCTCCATCTTGGGTCCACGAATGTGGCGTAGCCCCTGGGGGGGGTTAGGGGGAGACATAATAACACAACGCAATACAATATGTGGCCATTGTGCAACAATTGGATACACTGGGTACGTTGCATTATCGCCCCCGCAGAAAACACTGCCGCTCAGCACGTCACCTCCGGACGTGGATTCCTCTCGCTTCGCGGGGTGCACGTCCGGACCACGTACAGTCACGTCGTCGCGGGGCCTCTTGGGAGCCTCCTGGGGGCCTCCTGGAGGCCTCTTGGGAGCTTCTTTGGGCCTCCTGGGGGCTTCTTTGGGGCCTCTCCCCCCTCATTTTCATATTCCCTCCCCATCTTCCCTTCCAGCGCCGGCTCTAATCATGCGCGCCGCCGTGACCAACTTCCACCTGGCTGGCGCTGCGCCGTCGTTCGCCCAGGGGGGGAAATCACATTACGCTCCACTCGCTGTGTGGCCTTGTGGGGGCTTTTCTGAGGCCTCTTGGAGGCTTCTTGGGGATTTCTTGGAGGCCTCTAGGTTTTTTGGGGGGAGTTCCTTGGGGGCCTCTTGGGAGCCCCTCGGGGCCTCTTGGGGGCATCTTGGGCCGTCTTGGAGCGTTTCTGCGCCGTTCCGCCCCTTCGGAGGCCGTCTTGGGGGCCTCTCGCGGCCGCCTTGGGGTTCTTTTGGGGTCTTCTTGGGCCGTGTCAAGGTTTTTTTGGACCGCCTTGGGGGCCTCTTTGAGCCGTCTTGGGGCCCTCCTGGGCCGTTTGGGGCCCTCTTTGGAGCCTCTGGGGGCCTCTTGGGGACGTCTTGGAGCCGTCTTTGGGCGCTCTTACGCCGTCTGGCCACTTCGGAGGCCACTTTGGAAGCCTCCCGCGGCCGCCTTGGGGCTCTCTTGGGGTCCTCTGGGGCCGTCTTGGGGGCTTCTTGGGCCGTCTTGGAGGTTTTTGTTGGCCGTCTCGGGGCCCTCTTCGGCCGTCTTGGCGCCCCTTGGAGGCCTCTTGGGCCGTTTGGGGGCCTGCTTGGAGGCTGCTTGGGCCGTCACGGCCTTCTGAGAGCCGAAAAGGCGAGAACGTTGAAATTGTCTCAGAATAATAGGAAAATCGAAGATTTTGGCCTCCGGAGGCGCTCTCGGGAGTCTTCTTGGGGGCCTCTTGGACTTTTTGGGGGGCCTCATGGGCCCTCTTGGGGCCATCTTGGGCCGTCTTGAGGCCGGCTTGGGCTGTCTTGGGGCCATCTTGGGCCGTCTTGAAACTTTCTTGGGACCCCAAGAGGCCCAAGAGGCCCAAGAGGCCGAATGTGTTGAGTTCTTATAGGTTTTTGTAGGTTTTTGGGCCCCGCAAGGGGCCCTCCACCTTTGGGTCGACGGAAGTGGCGCGACTCCGGGGGGGGGGGGTAGGGGGGAGAGATAACAATGTAACACAATGCAATATGTAGCAATTACGCAATCATTGGATACATCGGATACGTTGCATTAGGGCTTCCGCTCCGCTCCGCGACCTGCCTCCAGCAACACGTCACTTCCGGACGTGGATTCTGAAGGTTCACGCCACATCCGCCGACCCCTCTCTTTCATTTCTGCCGAGCGGGAGTTCCCGCAGGGCTGCTAGGGCATTTCGGAGACATCTGGAGACTCTTCGGCCGTCCAGTGTGCTCGCAAAGCCGGGAAGGCCAGAATGCTCAAGTCATATAAAAACGTATTTGGGCGTCTCGGAGCCGTCATCGAGGCCGTCTTGGAGGCTTGATGGCCTGTTGTCTTGTCCGTCTTGGACGCTTCGAAGACCCAGAAAGCGGAGATGCTGATTCTTTACGTCCCCCGAAGGGGTTGGGACGATGTTGGCTTCTCGCGGTCCTCTTGGCAGTACTCTTGGGGCTCTCTTGAGCCGTCTCGGGGCCAGGTTGTGCAGTGTTGAAGTCATTGTTGGCGGCTTGGACGCATCTTGAGCCATCTTGGCGGCCTTGGTGGCCTTCCTTGGCCGTCTTGGTGGCCTTGGGGACCCCTGGGAGGCGAGGGGGAGGGAGGGGAGGCGGAAGAACATGAGTATGGTCATAGCGCGGTGAGGCAGGAGGAGGAAGAGGAGCGTGAAGAGAAGGAGGAGGACCAGAGGGAGTAGAAGGAGGAGGAGCAGGAGGAGGAGGAGGAGAAGGAGGACGAGGAGGAGGAGGAAGAGAAGAAGCAGGTCGCAGGAGGAGGAGGAGGAGAAGAAAGAGAAAGAGGAGGATGGAAAGGGACAGGGGAAGAGGAGGTTAAGGAGGTGAAGGCTGAGGAGGAGATGAGCCGGGCGGGAGGGGGCGGGGCCTTTTCGGAGACTCTTGGAGCATCGTGGCAACCACTCTTGCACACTTTGGGGGGCCTCTTGGGGGCAAGTTTGGGGCTCTGTGCGCCATCTTTGGGGATCGTGTTCTCTCTGCAGGGTTCTCTCCTAGATCCTGCTTGCAGCGCTCTTGGGGCAGCTTGGGGTTATTTGAGGAATTTGTCTTGGCCGTCTTGGGGCCCCAGCGTGAGGTCTTAGAAGCCTCTTGGGGGGCTCTGGAGTTGTTTTGAGGCGAGTTGGGGGGTCTCTTGCACCATCTTGATACAGCTTGAAGCCCAGAAGTAGAAAATGCCCAAATTTGCAAGGCTGCGTTCCTGGCGAAAGACCCGACAAGATGCTTGCGAGTACATCCGTCGCAATTTTGACTCGAGCGGTTCTGGTGACGAAACCGGCGGCTGGATTTACGCAGCTCACTTCCTAGTTCATGTTTTAGCTAATTTTTTAGTGCATTTCTCCATCCACGGCCTCGGGCGCAGCCGACGCACCCGCGCCTGCGCGCCATGCCGCCTGACGGCCGCGCGGCCAGAGCGCGGTGTGGCCCGCAGCCGCCGCCCGACCTGGCGGCCGAGGGCCGGCGCGGCCCGGAGCCGCCGCCCGGCCGGTGGCAGCACGGCCGCGCGCCGCCCGAGCGGGGCGGCCGCGCGGAGCCCCCAGGCCCAGCGGGCTCCGCCGCGGGCACGGGCCGCGGCGCACGCGGCGGCGCCCGGCGGCGCCCGCCCGAGGGCCTCCGCGGCCGCGCCGCCGCGCGCCGGCTTCCCCTGCGCGGCCTCTCCGCCGTCGGCCTCGGCCGCCCGGCCTCGGCCCGCCCCGGCCGGAGCGGGGTGGCGCGCCCGGGCACGCCGCGCTCGGCGGCTCCTGCCGTGCGCTCCGCGGCCCTCCAGCGGAGCCGCGCCCCGACGAGCCCATGTACGTCGCCCTGCCGCCGGGCCCGCAGGCCTGCGGCGCCGGCCCGCCGGCCGGGTGGCCGGCCGCGGGGCTCGTGCACGAGCGCTGGGCGCTCCCGGGGGGCCCCGGCGCGGCGCAGGTGGGCGGCGCCGCGGCGCCGCTGCCGCCGGCTGGGGGGAGCCGCGCCGTGGAGCGCTCTGGGGGCCGGTCGCTCTGCTGCGAGCTGCCCGGGAGCGGCTGGGCCTCCACGGGCTCCACGCGCGCGTCCTGCGACGAGGCGCCAAGCTCCGACGCCAGCGCGGACCGCCCAGAGCCCGCGCGCAGGCAGCTGGCGCTGGAGTTCGACTCCATCGGGGCTCAGCTCAAGATGCTCGAGGAGGAGGAGGACCCCGGGCGCGTGCTGGTTGCCAGGCGGTGCCATGCCTTGGGCTTCGAGTCGGAGCAGCTCCTTGTCAATCACTGCTCGCAGTTCGGGCGGGTCAGCAGGGTGCTGGTCATGCACTCGAGGGTGAAGCAGAAGCACAAGCCGACGGGCCCTGTGCGGCTCCGCCCTGGGAGCATCGGCTTCATCGTCATGGCGGAGGCTGAGGGCGCCGAGCGCGTTCTCCAGGCGGGCGCTGAGCAGACCGTGGCCGGCAGGCGCCTCGAGGTCGGGCCGTTCAGGCGCCCCTCGCCTCAGCAGCGAGCCGCCGGGCACCGCTCCGCAGAACGGCGACAGTGGGGCGCCGACAGTTCTGTGTTCGGGGTGCCTCCAGCCGGCCACACATCTGCTCACTCTCCCCGGGAGGCCTGCGGTTTCCCGCGGCGCCTTGCACCCACAATTCTACGCGTTTAGCCTTGGCGCTGGACGCTTCCTGGCCTCGAGGGTGGAGGTGAGGATCCCCCCTGGCGCACGACGAAACTCATCCGTCTGCCACGCCAGCAGTGGCGCCGGACCTGATGAAACGACAGGGGTCGCGGCCTCTCGGAGTCCACGACCCCCAATTTTAAGCAGTAGGGAAAGGGGGGCCACGACCCGTCCACGCCCCCCGCCTGGAACCAGGGGGGGTCCCCTTTGGTTGTCCTCCCTCCTCCTGCCTCCTCGTCCTCTTGCTCGTCCTCCTCCCCCCCCCCCCCCTCTGGCGCGCCTCTGACAGCCCAGATGGCTTGAGCCAGGAAGGCGGAAGCGGCTGGGCTCAAGTGCAGCCGGGTGGTTCCGACTGCAGTGCCGCCAGGCACGGCGGGCTTGTGGCGTGGTGTGTCACAACTCCACGGCGCTGCCGGGTACCACTGCGCGGGGGCGACTGGGCCAGATGGGCTGCGGCCACGGCAGCGTCGGGTCTGCGGCGCGCTGGTGGGGCGGGAGCAGGATACGATCCAAAGAGGGGCAAGAGGAGGAATTTGGAAAGAGTAGACGCCCGATTCACAGCTTGAACGGAGTTCGGGCATCGGTGTCGCCTGGCCTCCCACAGCCGACGGCTGCCTTGTGCCTCCCGCAGCCTGTCTGCTGCACTCTAAACGCGAGACACATGCATCGCACAGTTTTCACCTCTCACGTGTTTTGCGCATATTGAATAATAATTTTGTAATTGCTCATACACATGCCAAGTCCTGGCGGCGGGGTGACGCGTATGTTCTGTACGGAAGCCCAGCTGATTTGCCGAGCGCCGTGTGGCATCAATGGCATTCGGAGTGAGCGTTGCTTGGCTGATTTCAATTCTTTATGCTACGTGATGTGTGCGCATCGTTCAGCTGCACGCGCCTTCTCCAACTTGAATTCGCACATCGCATCGTCAAGACAATACTTGTGATGCGGCTACGCGCAAGAACTTCGCATAAGTTTTTGGTTGCCTCTTCCTTCTTGACAATACGTGCTGTGTGTGTGCAGAAGCCACGCGGCCCAGTCAGCAGGGAAGCTGAAGTGGCCACTAAACTTGTCGGCGTTCGGCCCGATTGTGCACAAACGCGCGTGCGTTGCGTGCTACACCGACTCGCTGCCTGGCGCGGCGCCTTATCGACAGAAGCAGACGGGAGGGACAGAGGAGGAGGGCACGATATCCGAGGATCAACATATTGAATTGTGAGCGGAGTCCACAGGTACCACAATCCCTTTCTTTCGGTCTCCTTCTCGTCCTCGTCTTCCAACTCATGGCAAATTTTTCAATTGATGCTGGGCTGTGGAGCTGGCAGACCATGGCAATGGACTCGGAGCCAGGGCGGCGCTGGCAGGTCACTGCATGGCCAGACCGTGCAGACCTGCGTGATACCGACGCCCTCGGGGCGACCGGACGAGGCCCCCCTCGGCGGCCAGCCCACGCGGCCCTGCCCTTTGAAGGAGTCGAGGGCCGCCTGCCCGCTCGCAGCAGAGGCGCACCCCCACTCAGTTTTGTCGGCCTGGTGCTGCGCAAACGCGCGTGCGTGGCGTGCTGCACCGGCTCGCACAGGGCGCGAAGTCGCGGCCTGGTGCGGCGCCCCATCGGCACAACCAGGCGGGAGGGGCCGAGGAGGAGGGTACGAGAGGAGGATCGAGGATCTGGATCCAGGATCAGCAAGATCTACCATCGTTTGTGCCCACTGCATGCCCTCGCGAGACACCGACGCCCTCGGGGCGACAGGATTCATGAGTCCCTCCTCGGAAGCAAGACCGCGGGGCTCTCCTCCTGGAGGAGCTGCGGGCCGCCTGCCCGCCTGCACCAGAGACCCGCCCACACGGGGCGCACGTCGGAAAAAAATGGTCCTGGCGATGGGCCCAACCATATGCGCAAGGGCTCCCTCGAGGGCGCGAAGTTATTCGCGCTTCGCGCTTCGCGGTCCTCGTTCCTTCTCCCCCTCCTCCTCGTCCTCCTATTCTCCTTCTGGGAGGGCGGCGCGAGAGCGCGAAGTTATTCGCGCTTCGCGCTTCGCGCAGCGCGAAGCGCGAAGTTGGGAGCCCTAGCATATGCAATTGTGAGTACCGCAGTTGTGAGCCCCTCCTTCGGTGGAGCTCCCTGTGGGGCCACGAAGCGTGCGAGGGGTGTGCCGAAATGGGCGCGGGTGGCGCCATGCGAACCCTGCCAGTGGGGCCGTCGGTGGAGCTCCTTATGGGGCCGCGAAACGTGCGAGGGGTGTGCCGAAATGGGTGCGGTGGCACCATTGGAACCCTGCCACTGGGGCCGTCGGTGGAGCTCCTTGTGGGGTCACGGAACATGTGAGGGGTGCGCCGAAATGAGGCGGTGGCGCCATGCGAATTTTACCATTGCGGCCTTCGGTGGAGCTCCCTATGGGGCCACGAAACGTGTGGCAGGTGTGCCGAAATGGGGCGGGGCCGCCATGCGAACTCTGCAACTGGGGCCGTCGGAGGAGCTCCCTTAGGGCCACGAGAGGGGTGCGTCGAAATGGGGCGGGGCCGCCATGCGAACTTTGCCACTGGGGCCTTCGGTAGAGCTCCCATGGGGCCATGAAGCGTGTGAGAGGTGCGCCGAAATGAGGCGGGGCCGCCATGCGAACTTTGCCACTAGAGCCTTCGGTGGAGCTCCCTGTGGGGCCACGAGACGTTTGAGGGGTGCGCCGAAATGGGGCGGGGCCGCCATGCGAACTTTGCTATTGGGGCCGTCGGAGGAGCTCCCTATGGGGTCACGAAACGTTTGAAGGGTGTGCCGAAATGAGGCGGGGCCTTCATGCGAACTTTGCCATTTGGGCCTTCGGTGGAGCTCCCCATGCGGCCACGAAACGTGTGACAGGCGCGCCGAAATGAGGCGGGGCCGCCATGCGAACTGTGCCATTGTGGCCGTCGGTAGAGCTCCCCCTTATGTGGCCACGAAACGTGTGAGGGGTGCGCCGAAGTGAGGCGGGGCCGCTATGCTAACTTTGCCACTGGGGCCTTCGGTGGAGCTCCCTGTGGGCCCACGAAACGTGTGAGGGGTGTGACGAGGCAGACACATGCGGAGGGCAGAGGCAAGGGAGGGAGGAGGGCGAGGAGGAAGGAAGGAAGTTGTAGGGACGCGGGTCGCTGTCTCTTCAGAACGAGGACCCGACACCACAGGATGGTTGCGGAAAAATGCAAATTGTGAGTACCGCGGTTGTGAGTATCGTCTTCGGTGGGGCTCACCATGGGTCCACGAAACGTGCGAGGGATGTGCCGAAATGGGCGCGGCGGTGCCACGCGGGCGCTGCAACTGGGGCCGTCGGTGGAGCGCTCCATGGAGCCACGAAACGTGTGAATGGTGTGCCGAAACGCGCGCGGCGGTGCCGTGCGGGCGCTGCCTCTGGGGCCGTCGGTGGAGACCCCTATTTGGCCGCGAAACGTCTGAGGGGTGTGCCCAGCCGAAACAGGCGCGGCGGTGCCATGCGGGCGCTGCCATTTGGGCTCTCGGTGGAGCTCCCTATGGGGCCGCGAAACGTGTGAGTGTGCCGAGAAGGGCGCGGCGGTGCCATGTGGGCACTGCCGGTTGAGCGCCTCATGGAGCCACGAAAAGTGTGAGGAGTGTGCCGAAGCAGGTGGGGTAGTGCCATGCGGGCGCTGCCTCTGGGGCCGTCGGTGGAGACCCCTATTTGGCCGCGAAACGTCTGAGGGGTGTGCCCAGCCGAAACAGGCGCGGCGGTGCCATGCGGGCGCTGCCATTTGGGCTCTCGGTGGAGCTCCCTATGGGGCCGCGAAACGTGTGAGTGTGCCGAGAAGGGCGCGGCGGTGCCATGTGGGCACTGCCGGTTGAGCGCCTCATGGAGCCACGAAAAGTGTGAGGAGTGTGCCGAAGCAGGTGGGGTAGTGCCATGCGGGCGCTGCCTCTGGGGCCGTCGGTGGAGACCCCTATTTGGCCGCGAAACGTCTGAGGGGTGTGCCCAGCCGAAACAGGCGCGGCGGTGCCATGCGGGCGCTGCCATTTGGGCTCTCGGTGGAGCTCCCTATGGGGCCGCGAAACGTGTGAGTGTGCCGAGAAGGGCGCGGCGGTGCCATGTGGGCACTGCCACTGGGGCTGTCGGTTGAGCGCCTCATGGAGCCACGAAAAGTGTGAGGAGTGTGCCGAAACAGGTGGGGTAGTGCCATGCGGGCGCTGCCACTGGGACCGTCGGTGGAGCTGCCTGTGGAGCCACGAGACGTCTGAGGGGTGTGCCGAAACAGGCGCGGCGGTGCCATGCGGGCGCTGCCACTGGGTCGGTCGGTGGAGCGCCCTATGGAGCCACGAAACATGTGAGGGGTGTGCCGAGATGGATGCGGCGGTGCCATGCGGGCGTTGCCACTGGGGCCTTCGGTGGAGCTCCCCATGGGGGCCACGAAGCCTGTGGGAGGTGTGCCGAAACGGGCGCCGCGGTGCCATGCGGGTGCTGGCACTGGCGCCCTCGGTGGAACTCTTTACGGGGCCACGAGACGTGTGAGGGCCTGTGCCGACGTGGGCGCGGCCGTTCCATGCGGGCGTTGCCCCTGGGGCCTTCGCTGGAGCTCCCAGTGGGGCCACGAGACGTGGGTTGTGCCGAACGGGGCGCGGCGCTGCCGTGCGGGTGCTGCCACTCGGGGCCTCCGAGGGTGGAGCTCCTCGTGGGGCCACGGAACGTGTGAGTGGTGTGCCGAAGTGTTGTGCATGCGACGGAGAGCAGAGGCAGGGATGGGAGGAGGGAAGAGGGGGGAGAGGGGAGGAGGAGGAAGGAGGAGAAGGATGAAGAAGGAGGAGGAGGAGAAGGAGGAGGAGGACGCGGGGCGCTGCTGATTGAAAACGAGGGCCCAGTTCAACGCAGGATGCCTGGGAAATCGGAGAGTCAATGGCTGTTGCACCTAGGAGCCCTTTCAGGGGGTCTCTTGAACTGGCGTCGTGGACCGTCGTCGGCGGCTCTGAAGACCCTGTTGGGGCCGCACTGCAAGGGCTCCCTCGAGGGCGCGAAGTTATTCGCGCTTCGCGCTTCGCGGTCCTCGTTCCTTCTCCCCCTCCTCCTCGTCCTCCTATTCTCCCTTTGGGAGGGCGGCGCGAGAGCGCGAAGTTATTCGCGCTTCGCGCTTCGCGCTGCGCGAAGCGCGAAGTTGGGAGCCCTAGCATTGGAGCCTCGAGACGGAGCAGGGGCAGCCCGGACCCCCCCCCCCGGGGCTCGCGCCGGGCGAGGGGGGGAGAGTAAAGTTTCCAGTTGGGGACCACTGGGAGATTATCTGAGCCGCGCTACACAGGGAACAATGAATGGTGGGGCAGCGAGGGCTGCAGAAAAGGAGCCCCATCAGGGCCCTGAAAGGGAGCTCTCTTTGGAGCCCCAGAAGGACCCTTTGGGGCCCAGAAGGGGGCCTCAGGGCCCGAAAATGGCTCCTTTCTTCCCCCTCCACTGGCCGCCCCCCAGTACTTCGCGCCCGGATTATCCTATCAGGGGGGGGGGGAGAGTTTCCCCCACGCCTGGAGGCCTAGAAGGAGTCAGCGGATTGCCACACCGAGGGAGCGGGCCTCCCCCCGGGTGAGGAGATGCTGCTGTACGCCGACGGCGGCGCGGGCGGTGGCCCCGAGTGCCTGGCCGCACTCTCCGTGGGTGCCTGCCGGGCACTCCCCGGCCTCGCGCTGCGCCCCTGGCGCTGCGGCTCTCAGGGGCAACGATAGGGGGGGGATAGGCACACGGGATGCATCGACCCCCAATCGCCCATGGATCGCCGATGGGGGCTCGATGGCCCCAGCCTGCCCAGGAAGAGGTGCGGAGTCACGATCGGAGGCCCATCGCCGATCTGTCGGCGACGTATCGCCGATTCCAGGTCGATGCATCCCACCCCTGTGCCAGTCCCCCCCTTTCTCGTTGTCCGTCAGGCTTCGCCGCGCGGGACGGGCGGGCGCCCGCCAGCGCGCCCCCGTCCCCGCCTCAGCGTCTGCTGAGCGCAGCGGTCGAGGGAGGGTACGAAAGCAAGCGGCGCGCGGGCCCTGGCTCTTACACGCAGGAGCTGCGAGGGGCAGGAGGCTGTCGCCTCCTTCCTCCAGGAGTTTCCCTCTATGGCCGAGGGGGGGGAGGACGAAAGACGAACGAACGAGCCTAGAAAACATCTGTGAACGAGAATCAACGTTTCCGCCGTCGGGGACGCCCGGCCTCCCAGGCGGCTGCGGGGTTTGTGCCCCCCTACGGTGCCACGTCGGGGTTTTGATTTTCCAGCCGCCCGGGGGGCATACGTCCCTGACGGCGGAAACGTTTCATGCCGTCTTGACCCTCGCCCGCTAGTGAGCACGCGATCGGCGATCACATCAGGGGCAACGACCAGGGGGGGGGATAGGCGCAGGGGGGCACGCGTCGCCCCCCAATCGCCCACGGGTCGCCGATAGGGGTCTGATAGCCCCGCCCCCCCCAGGAACGCGCGGATTCGCCATCGTGGTAATATCGCTGGTCCATCGGCGATGTGTCGCCGATTCTGGGCCGGTGCTTCCTTCCCTATGCCAGTCCTCCCCCCCCCTTCTCGTTGCCCCTCATCACAGGTCGCGGCGATCGGGGGATCACGTGAGCGACGTAGGAACACGGGATCGACTGCGCGAAGATTCGCGCACGAGCTTCTCGCGTGAGGCCGCGCGTGGGCGCCCTC